ATGCCCTTACAAACAGGGGGTGTCGTTCCGGATCTGCTTGTTTGTGAGAGGACAGAGTTTGTGAAGCATTGATGAGGGCTCATGATTCAAGGCCACGGATTTGTTGATGTGGGTGCATGGATTCACGTGGCCCGTGGTTAGAAGGCTCACGTCCTTTTGTGATAAGTTTCAGGAAGGCATTCAAGCTCGGCCTCGTGCCCATGTGGAACCGTCAGGTGACGGATGAGGAGCTGGGAATCAAAAGCAAGCGCTTCGTCGCATGGATGATCCCCAACTTCCTGAACCGCGCCAACAAGCCGCACCTTACTCGCAGTGAAGTGCCAGCTGAACAGCTGGGCCGAAGGGCGTCACTACGTTTTGCATCCCACAACGGGCACTGAGGGGTGTCAACTAAAATTGAACAGCGGTTTTTACTCAAATGAAAGGGTTTATAGAACTGCATGTACTTTGCGGAGGCAATCCTGGTTGGGGCGTAGGCTCGCGTAGGCTTCTGCGCGGAGGCTGTTGTGTCAACCCTCGCGTAGGCTTTTCGCGTAGGCGTTTGAACAAATCATGGCTCAATTATGTTTGCCAAGTAGAATGGAGTTTGCTTTTTTGCCTTCCTTCCGTTTGTTCTGCAGTCTTCGCGTAGGCTCCGCGTAGGCCCCGCGTAGGCCCCGCGTAGGCATGCGCGGAGGCTTTCAAGGCATTTTCAAGCACGTAGACCTTTTCTAGCAGCCAGATACTTTGATGTGGGTTCTCAATTGTATTGCAAATGTGATCTTAGAGCTGGAGCTGCCAAAACTGCTCTTGTACTGAACAGTTGCGATTTTCCAGTTGGAGCTGCCAAACTGCAATTCAACACTTGAACTCAACATCTGCCCGCCTAGGCGTCCGCGTAGGCACCTGGAAGCTGACTTGCGCTCGCGTAGGCACCCTTTGCAGCGTAGGCTTGCGGAGGCTGCCGTGTAGGCGTACAAGTAGTGTATAGGCCCCGAACCACCAAAAAATCCACTGCTCAATTGGACATCCTCTTTTTGTTGTATGATGCTTAGCCGGCAAACTAAAGGGAAAGCAGCCAAATTTTGGTGTCAAAACCATTTTTAGGACACACCACGCCCATTTAGTTTCGTTAAGCTGCGCGCTATCAACTGCTTTCTGGAGTTCTTTTGAAGCATTATTTTGGGACACGTATTTGTTTAAGAACTCTACTAGCCGGCCGAAAGAATTGCAGCGAGTCGGGGGCCAAATCGTGAAAGGCCTTGAAAGGATGGTGATGTGAGGGGATGACTTGTTGGTTCGGTTTGGCGACTTTTCCTGTAGCCGGTTGCGTGTTCCAGCTTCAACCGCCCGGGCAAGCCGTGAGTTAGCTCTTTCGTGGTCGGCCCAAACAGGCAGTATACCAAGTTCATTGCCAGGCAGTCTGTCCAGAAGCTTGGAACATGGGATGATTCTTGATCAGCAAACATTGAGTTGACCCTCGTTTGGGTCTGAAGATGCATTTCCAATGCTTTTGTCCCAAAATTGGAATGGGAATTGTTCGGATGGCTTTCAAACTACAGTAGATGGACAACATATTGAATGCCTTCCACAACATCGCTCTTCAACCACCCGCAACCCAAAGCTCAACGTTGCGCAGGGGGTTTACTGAGTCAGTCCAATGGGAGTCGTTTCGTCCACTCGGTTGGATCGTTCCTAAAGGCCGAACAACATTGAGATGTGGGGTCGAAGGGGTTGAAGATAAGCCAAGGGTTGAATATTCCGTCCATTTACGGCATACCATGTTCCATGTTTGCCCCTGGCTACAACAACATGTCGGGTTGAATGTTGACCCAACAAATGGAAGAGAGATGGCAGCCCCCTCCCAATCATTTGGAGGCGTCCGATTCTTATCTTGGAAGCACATTACATTGATTACTGTTGTGGAAGCCAACGACACGAAGACCTGGCGCCAGTGACTTTTGAGATTTTGCCTACGCCATGGTTTGACAAACCTGATTGGTGCTTGGTGGGTAGGGTCATCATTTGCGTTGTAAGCAGTGGGTCGTTGCGTTACAAGGTTTCTGTTCAGAAACCCATCCGGGAAAAAGGCGTCTAGTTGCCCGGCATGACGGTTTATAGCCGGAGAGTTACGGACTAGGGATCTAGTCGGTCTAGCTCTCTGACGGCTTCTTTTGCCGCATGTGTTGCCAACGTGGCTTAGCGATGCATCGTGCATCCGCCATTTGCTTGTTGCAATCGCTCACTCGTCAGACATGCTTCGGGCTCGAGGGGGGTGGGCCATGTCGCACCACAGGACCCATGGCTGGAGACTTGTTTTTCTTTGCCGACGTTGAAGAACTGTTGCGGAAATTGTACCAATACCCGCCCCAAAAGCTTGCACGTTTCATTGGTCTTTTCAGGAGAATGGTCGTTTTCCTCCGTTGCCCATACGTAGTAGTTGAACATTTCAACACTGGTGCTGCAACCGTTCGGCCTTCCGAGCAGACCAAACGGTGTTTTTGTACAGACGTCGCTTGCTTGGAATTCAGTGTTGCAAAGGATTCGGCGTTGCATTTAGCGTTCGTAAAGCGTTCACAACCCGTTGAAAACATACACTTTACGGAAAGCGACTCGCCTATCAGCAACCGTTCTAGTGTGCAACAAACCGTTCTAGTGCTCAAGTCGTCGAACACGATAAGCACAAACACATTGCATCTCCAAGTGCTGCTGAAAAAAGCAGCAATCTAGGGGCCTCATGTATGGATGCATGTGAGGCCTTTGTCATACTGTGCCATTTGTCGCAATCAACTTGTTCATGCATTGCTTCCCGTTCTTCTCGTTTAAGCTTTTACTGGTGGATTTCATGGCTTCCCCCCGAGCGGGCGGAAGCGCGTCCAAGGTACGGTGTGATCTCCCAGCCTCTGCTGAAGGGGCAGAAGATCAAGGCCGATTCCCAGCCATCCGTTGGGTTGAAAGAGTTGCTTTTCGTTGGTGCACTTTGCCAAGGGATGTTCGGACTTTAACTTTTTGCCAACTAGTGGGTTTTCCGTTAAACCACTAAGAGTTAAACTTTTAGCAGGGCTTCGCAGAAAGCAACCGAGTTTTAGTTGGTTTGGTGATAGTGGGGGTTCCGAATTCCCACTAAAAGTCAGTTGAACGTTTAGCAGGGGATCTGAGGACAGCCCAGTTTTGAGGCCGGAGCGTGATGCGCAAATTGAACCAGAGAGTTTTTGTTGAACCAGGAAGTAGTTTTGTTCACCAGCATGCTTCACCAAATTTGGAGTCCACCGTTCAAGCAATGGTATTTGGAATTTTAGCCGGGGTTGCCAAGGAATGCGAGTGTCTATACAAACCTTTTCTCAACAGATTCCTAGCAAACATTCCTTTGCTAGGTATGTCGGAGGTTCCATGAAGCTGTTTGGAGGAGAAATGGTCATACATCTTGGTAGACCCCAAGATTGAAATTACTTTGAGCCTTGTGGACAGTTGTCAGCCCCGGAAAGAACCAACTTCCGTGCCAGGCCTTGCCCCATGCCCCAAGAGACTTTTATACAAGCCTCTTCTGCAGATTGCCAGTAGACGTCATGGTCCTCAGCGTCCACCCCCAATTGTCCAGACACTTCCAATCACCAAGTCGCTTTCGGCGGCTTGCCACGGACTTTCGGGTTGGTACGAGGAATCGGTTCCATGCATAGGTTTGGCTGTCAGTGTTCAAAGCGGGCCGTTTTTTTGGGGGAGGCTTCCTCATGCCGAGCGGATTTCAACCTCTGAAATCCAACTGCTTAAGTGTCCTGACCCCATGGCGAAGAAAACGGACCGGCATTCCCCTTTGTCCAATGACTCTCGGCAAGTTATCAGGAAGCTTACGAGCTCAATCGAATCCTGTTGGGACTATGGTGGCTTCTGAATACCGTGAGGTAGTAATCTACTCAGGTATTGAAAGAGGAAAGCAGTATGCCATGGCATGGCCAGCCATGGGCTTATGTCGCAAGTAATATGGGGTTGCTTGGCTTGGGGATATGTTGCGAAAGGGACCAAACCCGCGCAGATGTTGCTTTGAAGGGAAGTCATGCATGGAGGGGGGCGGGGTTGTTTTGGCCCCAGAGACCCGGTCCCTTGATGTATGTTCAACCCACAAGGAGGGCGGGGGAACGAACTCCCATCATGGCCACGCCATCCGAGATAGGGTCAGAATATATCTGAGTTTCGGGTCACTTGTTGTCTAGGTTTAGTTTGAGAGGGACTTGGGGGACTCACGAACTTTCCCACCAACACGCGGGGAACGCACGATTTGTCTCATGCAGGGCTCCACTTTTACCCCACGATAGACTTAAACCCAGGGGTGGTTGATGTCCCCCAAAGGGATTCAGTCTGGGGTAGTCAAAAAGTGGAGCCCTGGTCTCATGTCCTTTGCAGGGGCCATGTTTGACTCAGCGCGCCTATCCGCTTCTTTCCTCAGATGCGGATCAAGTCCAGCTTTCCCGTGACGAGCGTCGGCGCCTGGAAGACGGTGCTGCTCACACGGGGCACGCAGAACTACATTCTGGTGTGGGTGCTTTTGTTTAGCGTCTCGGCAAAAAAAATGTGGACATTGGTGTTCTTTTTGGTTGCGTTGCTAGACAAATATATGGCCCTGGTTTACCTGGTGGTTCAATCATCTACCAGGGCCATCTATTTCCCCTAAAAGGACATCTATGTTTGTGGAAGGGCCGAATGGTCAGCCCCCCCCCCCCCACCCCCCTTCCTTCCCCCAAAAAAGAGAAGGTGAGTCTCTAAATGGTCAGCCAAGGTTTAGGGGGAAATCAACAAGACACCAACCAGCTGGAGGTGTAGTGTCGACGATCACCCAAATCATGTGGTGGTTTCATCAAATCTGGGAGACCTCTTGTAAGCGAGTGATTTGCCTTTGGTTTCCCTCTTACCTGCCCAAAAGGTGGGTCCCTTTTTCTTCGGCAATGCTTCCATGTCTGCTTGGGAAGTTTCAGCAAGCATCCTTTGTCGGGGTGGCAACCCTCGTGGGGAATGTATCTGGCTGCAGGCCGTCCAGTACCATGCGCGAGCGTTGCTCATTGCTTCTCCGCGCTTAACTACCAAAAACGGTCTTTTTGTGGCCTACGTATTGCTGGGCAAGCAAGCTGGCCGCATGGAAAAATAATCCACGGGGGAAAAACATAAAACGAAGCAAACTATATGGAACAAGCTCTGCTTGCAGAGCGTCCAAATAGAATGTGTGTCAAGTTGTGGACATCACACGACTCTCTCATGTTTGCCACACTGCATCAATGAATGCAGGTCCTCCCGCTTTTTGGTCCTGGGATCTTGGAGGTGCTGCGTTGAACCGCGTTTGCGGCAAGCTCCAGATGGCTTGCAAACATTTAAACCAAGAAAGTCAAAGGCTGTAAGCAGAGGCTGGTCCGCGTCGCAAGGCATCACACCTCATGCCGCAATTCCAACAGATCCTATATCTCTCTGGCAAGCCGCTTGCGCCGCCAGGTTTTCGCTGATCTCACTTACCGAGTTGTTTGAACTTTCGGCTTTTTGGGAAGGCCATTTTAGTGGTAAAATATCAAGTTCGGGTTCTTTTTCTGGGCCATCCGCTCGGCCAGGGAGTTAAATCCGCGCGTTTTTTGACCCCAGGCTGCGGGTTGTGCGTCGCCCTGGTGGCCTTGGTCTGGGGCGTCCGCCAGTTCTGCGGCCGGGAGAATGGCAAGGCCCGAGATCTGCAAGGCGCCTCGGCGGGGCTCAGCGAGTGGCGCCCGGAGTGGCGCCCGGGGCGCCCACCGGACGTGTTGAAAGGGAGGCCAAGAGGAAAAGCCCCCCTTTTTTGGGGAACCCCCCTACAAACAGACATGTCTGTGGGGTTCAAACCACCATTATCTTGCCACCATTTATTGTTTACTTCAGGAATTGTATTGTCATCAGCCATCTTGGGTCAACCATTCTTTTCCTGGAGGCAAGGATTCCAGGGGTGGAATGAGATGGCCGGTTCCATTTGGCTGCTCAAAACCGTTGTGGTTGACCCCATTTTGGTTGGCAGGTGAATGCACCACCCATGATGGAACCGAACCTATTTTAGTGGTTGGATTGGGATGTTGGGGGTACGATTTGGATTTTGACCCATGGCCAGATTTGACCCTCCCTTTAACGCCTTTGGCCGGTTCAAGAAGCTTACAGCTTGGGAAGCAAGCCGTGTTCCAGGAAGTCGCAATGGTGGGCTTCCCTCAAATGAGGGATCATCGTTTGGATGCTGAAAGAAAAAACAGAACTGACAAAAGCTGGGGTGCCCCCCTTTTGTTTTTGAAAAAGAATGTGGACGTCCACTGGCCCGGAGAAAGCGGTCGGACAGCTTTTGTGGGTTGCCTTGGGACCTGGGAGAGCACGCGGATGGATCAAGTCGAGATGTTGCAGACCCCAGGTTGACCCAGGAGACAGAGGATAGAGAGAGAGAGAGAGAGCTTGAGGGAGAGAGCTTGAGGGAGAAAGATAGAGAGAGAGAGAGAAAGAGAGAGAGAGAGAGCTTGGCGAGAGAGAGAGAGGGAGAGAGAGCGAGCGAAAGCGAGTGAGAGAGGGAGAGAGAGTGGCAAACAAGAGGCGCGAAGGCCTGTTTCACGCGCATGGTTGCCAGTGAGGCAAGGCAGATGAGAGGGTGGAGCCGTGATTGGAGCAGCACACCAACGCGAGACTGTCGTTAATTTCAAACCAATCTCCTGAGCATTATAGCTAATAGACCAAAGCACTCATTCCTCAGCACAATAAACGGAGCAACCTAGATGCGAGTCTTGAGGTTTTGACTATCCCAAGGAATTGGCTGTTCCCAGCGTGAACCTTGACAGAACCTTCGCTATTGAACAGTAGAAATGCTTTCTAGACTTGGAGGCTCCCAGCCATCCCCTTAGCCTTTTATCTTTTTAGTGTTTAGTGGTAGTTTCCATTCAACCCACTGAAAGTTAAACTTTTTGCGGGGGATCTGAGGGCAGCCCAGCAGAGGAAGTCATTTGTGGTAAGCCACGGGACATGGGCGCGGGTATTGGGCGCGTCGCCATGGTGCTGTAACAGCTAGTAATCACCACGCTTAGCTACCAGTCCACCAATTCAGATGAACCTGACGGGGACCCGGTCCCTTTAAAAGGACAACGTCTTCCAGGACCCCCCAAACGTCAGGTTCCATGTGAATTTGTGGGGGGGGAAAAAGGAAAAAATCCCACCAAACAATTCGCACCCATTTGTGGGAGGGTAACTCCCAGGCAAGAGTTGACGCAGCACACAAGCCGAGGCTTTTGTTTCCGCGACGTCTCAGATTCAGAGGCTTCGACCACAGAGTCTGAGGTGCGCGGCCGGGTCCGAAAAAAAAAGGTATTCAGTTGTTCAGTGGCACCCTTTTTCCTTTTTTTGGTGGCTGCCCCTACAGAAAATGGTCTTCCCCAAAAAAGGTCCCCTTTTTTCCAGGGTCACTGAACAACTGAGAAGTGGAACCCAAATCTTGGAAGGGTGCTAGACGGAATTGAAAGAAAGCCAACCAGTTTTAGTATCAACCCATTTAGACTCCACCTACCTCGCCTTTTCATGATGTCTTTGGTGCTTTGGTTTGTTTGGGGAGTTCTTGAATGTTGTGTGTGATTTGTCTTGGGAGAATGCCGTTGGGTGTGCTCCGGAACGTCTCTGGGACGTCTTTGGGATTGGGGAAGCCCATCGTGTTGTTCTTGTTAGACATGTTTGGGGATGAGTTGGGGGATAGTTTTGGCAAATGGCTCTATACAGGGGGGGTCATCCTTGGGTGGGTTTTGCGAATGTCATTGAGGATGTTAGGCTTGCACGCCAAGCTGTGCTTTTTGGTCGTCAACAGCGGATGTCCCTTTTCAGGGCACATCCTTGACGTTTCACGGTTGCACCTAGCATTCCACATTCGGTTGCAGTGTCTATCTCAGTGGTTCTCCAGACAAGTAAAAGCTTCGGCATGAACGGTAAGCACATCGGTATGGTTTCCATTCATCCATCACTGTCCAAGAGTGCCCTTTTCTATTTGCCAGAGTTGGAGCTAGGTTTTGTGGTTTCTTTTGGGCGTAGCTGGCCCTTTGCCTTTTGGCCACTGCTTGAGTCGGCCTTCCCGAATTCAAATTCGCCCGCTGCCAGGCCTAGTTGCGGGGCCGGACTTTGTTTCTTCGGCCAATGAGAGCATGACCAGCAGAAGTCTGGAGTCCGCTGGTTCTCAACACTTTGCTCGCTGATTTTGTCGTAGCGCCAATTGTTTACATGTTTGGTGCATTTTGCTTGGATGTTAGGACTTTAACTTTTTGCCAACTAATGGTTTTTCCATTAAACCACCAAGAAAAGTTTCAGTTGTATCCATCAAAGATGTTTGGAGGCCAGCGTTGCCTGCGTGGAAGTGCACCGATTGCGAAGTGCAATGGCATGGTTTTCCCGTGGCCAAGTGTGTACTTCCATGTATGGCTTTAGTCGGATATGGCTCTGGGTCAAAACCAATGGTACAAGTACCATGTTGGGGTAGGTGCACCACCCATTTTGTTTTTTTGTTAGTGGGGATTGGGATGTTCACTGTTGGTACGGGATTTTGACCCATGGCCATATGGCATCAAAATCCACAAAGCTGAGCAACAACTCGTTGGACGGCCTCAGGCCGATTTTCGTTGTCGCTTTCAGCCAATGCTGTGCTTGAAAAAACGGAAAAGGGTGGCGGCTACAGACCGGTTACTTGGCATGGGGATGGTCTGGTCAACCTTCCAGTGCAGAAATTCTGCACAAATTGTCAAAGGTCCAAGATTGGTAAACATGGCCATGAGGCAGTCCGTCATGATTCCCTTGACAAGCACGGGCGTGTACATGATGCAATCAGGCAAGAAGGCCCTGGCGCAGTTGCTGTTGACATCATTGCCGTTTTTGCTGAATGTGAGACTTGCTCCCATCAATCGGAGCACACGCTCACTGCCAAGCGAGAGAAGCTAGGTATTGCCTAGGACAAAACAAGATAACGCAGTTGAGATGCACTGCTATTCACGCAGTCCACACAGGCAGCCGTCATGGTGAAAGTCCACATGCCGGAGCGATATCTCGACATGTGTCCAAGTTCTGCACTTCGACTTTAGACGGCCATAGATCGACGCGTCGCCCGCATCGGCGAATCGGATTTCACGCGTTTCGCATGGGGTGGCTAGCCGCATTGTGCCTGTTGGCACTTGCCGAAGGAGAGGCACGGCCCGATTCGGCCCGATGTCGACGGACATGGGGACTTGTGAACTACAAGCATTGGAGGGTTTGGATGCTTTTGGTTTCCTTGAAACGAGTCTGCAAAGAGTTGCATCCCATGAAAGAGTTGCATCGGAAGCTTCCGAATGGTGTTTTCCGGCATTTTGCCGGGGGTTTGCATGCCTTGCGCCCGTCTGTGTGTGTGTGTGTGTTTGGGGGGAGGCGTGGAGACAGAAGCTGTCGCCAACATTGACTCAAGGGAGCCTTTGTCAGGTGCCATGTAAGCGGGAGGTGTAGATGTTAGCTGAGCTCTTAACAGCATTGCTGTTTGTTGTTTTCTGTCCTAAGCGCCAAGGGAAAGGCGGAGGACATCCAAGCAAATGTCACAGTGCATGGGACAATTCCAATCCGATGCAAACAAGGCCTTCACAAAGCAAAAGATAGGCTCTAGAAGTCTGGCAGATGATGATTCTTGGGAGGCAGTGCAGATTTGCTTTCCACAACTTGAGCGCCTCGATGGGTCCCAGCATCATGCAGTCGTCAGAAGCCGAAGGCCATGAGTTGCTTGAGTGCTGTTCTTGCGGAAAGTCCGGTTGGTTTCGGTTTCGGTCGAGGCTTCATGTCGTGAAGCGCGCGTTTGTTGTTTTTTTTTGTTTTTTACGGAACAGGGTAGTCCGCCCGGTTTCCCGAGGTGCCTCCAACAATGCAGTCGTCAAGCCGAAGCCGGTTCCATGACTAGGTCCCCCAGTAATGAGTGCCCTTTTACCCATTTTGGGGGAGGGGTCCCCTTCTAAACTAAACTGAAAAAAAAATGGGTACCCTTATTCTGGCCTCTCTGGAGGACCCAGCTGAGTTCCTTCGGCCGTCGCCGGGTTCGCCTTTTCGGAGGCCAACAGCAGCGATCCCTTCGCGAACCCCTTTGCGAACGCGCCCACCTTGGCGCCGGGCATCGGACTCGACGGCCGCGCGCTCAGCCGCTGGCGAGTCGGAGGGAGCCGATTTGTTTGTTTTTCGGGGGAAGAAAAAAACCCTGCGGGGTTTGGAAGAGATGGACCCCAGATGAATCAACCAACCGGTTAATGGATAGGGGTTGCTTTTCCCTGGGTTTAGTGGGGGAATCACGAGTTTTTTGGAGGGGAACACCGGAACATCCAATAAACTGGGGTTGATTGACATGGGGTCGGCAGTAACAGATTCGGGGTCGACACTTGGGTCCACATGCGACCAGTGATTTTGCGCCTCAAGACGTTTCCGCTTTCTTTGGAGGTGTCCCTAGTTAGGGCTTCTTGATTCATACAAGTGGCGGGTTGCTGGGCATTGCTTTCCATTATCTAGGCCACCAGAACGTGTATGGTTCAATTTGTGTTTGACTGAACTCCTCTATAGGAAGGATATCTGACTTGCGCGCATGATCAAGGAAACATATCTGCACCAGTACTGAGAATAGACCAAAAGAGGAAATCAAATTTCAGCATTGGTCTGTCCTAAAACAAGGTCACCACTGCAAGTGGTTGTTTAATTTCAGAAGCAACATAAAAAAAGGGGGTCTAAGTTTAGAAAACACCTGTATGTGGACGGCTTCATATATCACGGGTCAACATTGCACACATCTCTCATCCGACCTGCAGTTGTACAAAGGCACATCTTCCCATTCTGTGCTTAGCTCCTCTTAGCTCTGTTTTGCGGGTTCGATTGTTTTTAACGTTTTTACTGAGACACGGGTGATGAAACATCCATCTAGAACTCAAGCCATCCTGTCCGACCAAGGCCGAAGAAGCCTTTCAGATAGAAATGAGTAGAAATTGCTGGAACCAAAAATTGGCATGAAGGATTATTGGAATACTTTGTGGCATCACTCCGGACCGAATGAACAGCTGCGAAATCAGAGATTGGGGAAAGCATGGCAGCGTGTGGTTCCGTCTTGGGCCTCGTTTCCCATGGCCGATATGGGCAAGGGAACTGGGGTGAATATTTACTCAAAGGCATGCTTGGTTTACAGGATGCCTGGTCCGGTCATGTGCCGGTTGCCTCTTTGGATTTGTTGAAAGGTGAGATGTTTTGCGGCCTGTCCCCATGACCTCCGCTGGGTCAACATAATAACTTCCTAAGCTGACATGGCTATGGGTCAAAACCCATTTAACTTCAGTGAACATCCCAATCCCCACAAAATAGACTAAAATGGGTGGTGCACCACCCTCGACTCAAAATGGTACCATTGGTGTTGACCCACGGCCACATCCACCAAAGCTCCTTGCTTGGGCCGGCCCTAGCGTTTCCGGTGAGTCACAGAGGCAAGCCGGTGCATGTGGTGATGCTGAACGACACCAAGGCGCGGACTAGGACAAAGGTCGATATGGCCGTGTCTTGTTTTGAGGGTTTCCCATATTTGGTACTTTTAAAAAGAGACCAAAAGGAAAACCACAATTTGCTGGGGTAACCTAAAACAGATGCCGTGATGTGGGTTTCTGAAACACGGGAGAAGTACATGAGAATGCTCGGTGTCCTTTCTCAGTTTGCCTTGAACCACCTAAAAGGTAGCGCTTCTAACAGGTCACAAGCGGATTCGCCTCGCCAGTGCTCGAATTGCAAACTCATTGCTGGATTTGTTTTTGCCAATGGGTCTTGCCAAAGCAGTCTTCCCCTCTGGAAAAACGATTTGGCCGCAACGTTGGTGATACATAGGAACTCATGGCATTCGGTGCCTTGTTCAGACAGACCCACTACAAAAGTCTGAACATTTGCGAGTTGGAGTGCCTGCGAACCTTGGGCTTTGTACTGGTCTACGGCATGAACCATTTCTTCAAGCTCTGCCAACTGCTGTCTATGCTTTGCCTTCCCATCAAGCGTGGCAGGTTTCAGGGCTTCCGGTTGGCCTCTACATTGTGTTGCCTTCAGCTGTGCTTCATCCAGGGGGCAACCCAGAATGCCCTTTCACTGTGGATGTCGGCAAGGCCGTTCACCTTGAATTTGGGTCTCACACAAATAAATCCCACACCCTCAGCGTGAGCCGCACTCTTTTACCTCTTCCCTATTGCTCGCCGTTTTGCGTTTTGGGGCACCAGGGACTTGATCCAAAACACAGTCGGACCAAACTGGATGCGTCCATATAACGTATTGGTCTTAATCTTCCCAGGTTGGATGGATCTGTCTGAGGTAGAGGTCATGTACAATTGACAAGCTTTTGTAGAGGTGAACACTTTGAGCTATGTTCTGTTTGATTGCTAGTGGCGGTTCAACGCAAGCCCGGGCTTCCGACAAGAAGCTTGATGAGCGGGTTTGATCAAGTTGATAAGGCATCTGGTGTGAGCTTTGATTGAGGGGGCCCTTTTGATTCACTGCATCTGCTTAGCCAGTTGGGTACATGACTCAACAAAGGGAAGTGGATTCTAGCAGCCTCGCAGGAACACTGGCTCTGCAAGTTCTGGTCAGTCTTGCGCAACGTCTCCAGGAAAGTTGTGACATCCAGACTGACCCAAGAGTGACCCCAGTGACAGCAGTGACCCAAAAGCAATGTGGCTCTTCCACACAATTCAAGCAAATTGGCACGTTTCCTCCATCCGGCGAAGCCGCTGGATGCAGCACTCATCTTGCATCCCAGCACTTTGTCCACTTTACACGGACCCCTGGAACACAGGGTTCCATATAACATGAGGCTCTCCACGCTTCGTGGGTCAGACACTTGGGCCCAATCTGCCGCTGGGCCCCGCCCCTTTTTTTCGCCGTCCGCTCGCCGCGGCAGCACCCCTTCGGCTTCAACGGCTCGACCTTCTCCGGCTTCGGGAAGGGCATCAAGAACGCCTTCAAGTGCCCCTTCGCCACCTGCACACAGGCGCGGAAAGCGCAAGTCGCAAGCTGAGTGAGAGGCTCTTGGCGTTTTGGAGAGCAAGCAGAAACCAGCAGAAAACAGGGTGGATACCTCCTCTGTTGTCCATGTGCACTGGTTTAAGGTGCACGTGCCATGACTGATAAGGCGGTGTCGTTCTCAGAGCCTGTTGTCATGAAGCAAGGTGGCCGTTTGAAGCCCGAAAGAGAAATGAGTTCGAAGCCATGGGCGGTGCCTGCAATGACTGGTTTTGGGGGAAGACAGCCTGCACCTCGTAATCCTACTCTTTCTGGTCAAGGATAAGGCCCGCGGCAATTCGTGAGGCGCCACTCAGCTCTACAGTGTAGAACCCCCAGGCGCCCTGACATCATGACCACCACACATGGGGCGAAAGACCTTGTCATTTCTCATGTAGGTTGTTTTCCATATAAAGATGTTAGCCATTGATTGTTGTTTGCTTGGCACCCCCCTTTTGCTGAGTTTCGAAGGCAGACAAGCGAACCCACCCATTGGGAGGGTCCCACAAGTTTGAGCACCAAGTAGCAAACTCTAACAAGCTCAGCTTTAGGCAGCGAACTGGAATTCACGAGGTGAGGTGCGAGGTGGAGATAACCAATGGTTTTGGTGGACCCCTAAAAAGCGGGGCTCTGGAAACCTTCAAAACTATTTGGGAAACGGGCGATTTTCCTCAAGGCAGCCCACAAACTGCAGCGCTGGTCTGGCAGCGGCTTTCAATTTAGAGTTTCCCCGCTCCAAACATACAAGCTGTAGTTTTGTCGGGACCAGTTTTGTTGAAGGCCCTCAAATCGCCACAGCCGATGTTTGGAACAAGGAGGACATTTCCCGGGCCACATAAACTGCGGGGTTTGGTCTGGCAGACCGCCGCTTTCTGGTCATTTTGACCCGGTTCTCTCGGGATGGCGCCACGTGCATCCCAAAATGCCTGGGTTCAAGTTTTTGGGTGTTCTTTGCGCACAGCGTAGGCTGGAGGCCCTCAGTCTTGAGGGTGGCTTGCGAGGCATTATTTCCGGGGAGGGTGTCTGGCAAAGTGCCAAACGAGGTGAGAATTATGGGTCACATAAATTGAGCATTTCTTTGGAATTTGCACATGCGCTGCAGGAGAGTTCACAAGCATATTACATGTACTCTGTACTCGACCTTGCGAAAGTGTTGCGCCTGCAACGAAATCTGTATTCGAGCTTGCGAAAGTGCTGCGCCTGCCACGACATTTGCGAAAGTGTTGCGCTCGGCACGAAATCTGTACCTGACTTTGCGAAAGTGTTGCGCCTGCCACGAAATCTGTATTCGAGCTTGCAAAAGTGCTGCGCCTGCCACGACATTTGCGAAAGTGTTGCGCTCGGCACGAAATCTGTACATGACTTTGCGAAAGTGATGCGCCTGCCACGAAATCTGCACTTGATTTTGCGAAAGTGAGCCGATTTGACTCTAGCTAGTGACCCCTTGCGGTGAACAGTACTCCTCATTGGGTCTGTTCAACAACCCTTCAGGCTTACGACCAAAGACACCGATGTTTTGGAGCTGTTCCCCAAATGGGTGTGGCTCGGAATTAAAGAGCTAGAGCTACGCAGATTTTAGTCTTTGGTTCTAGATACCAAGATACCATTTTAGTACATGTTTGTGAGCTGTTCCCCAAATATGAACCAGAGGCAAAGATGTGTTTTTGGATTGGGAGCAAAAGCTGAAGTTGTTTTGGGGCTTGCCCAGGCGCCAACTTACTTATGCAAGCAAACCTGGCCGCAGGATGTCATCGTGGACGAAGATGACGTGACTTGGCAAATAGCAGCCGTCAGGTGGGCTTGTTTCCAGATCGGCTGGGTACAAACTATCAACCAGCATTTTGTTTTCCGGATGTTGCTCGTTTTCCCAGTTTCAATTCTTTGACCTTGTGTCACATCCAGATGTGGGATCGTTGGTTTGTCAGTGCCGCAATTGCTCTTAGAAGGCTCACCTATCCCTAGAGCCTCTCTTTTGGCATCTTGTGGAAACCCCCAGGGGTGGTCGAAAAGAAAAGAAAGCCAGGGGAGTGCTTCGCTTTTTTTTCGGATGGCCGAGCTTCCCGCTTGAGCCGAGGATGCCGACGTATGGCGTTGCGGCCTCAGAGCTTGATCGCCTCGGTGGAGCTTGGTGGCTGCCTTGCCTAGCGGTTTGCGTATGTATCCTTGGTTGATCTTGGTTGCTTTGTATTGGTTTCCTGAGAAGCTGCAATGTTTACTTTATGTACGTGTCAACATGTGTTTTTTCTTTTCTGTTCTTGTATTTTTTGTGTGTGTGTGTATTTGTGTGTGTGTGTGAGTGTGCGCGTGCATGCTGACTGGGTGGCCGGATGGCTTGCTGGCTGGCTTGCATGCTCGCCTGCTTGCTTGCTTGCAGTTGATATTTAGAGTAGAACTCCCTTGATATCGCTGTAGGCTGTTTGAGCTCACTTGGCCTTTTCGCTGGCTTGTAATGCGATGCTTCGTTTGAAGCAGTCCTTTCATGCGCCCGGCAGCTTTCTGAGCTTCTGGTCCAGATGGATGCCATGTTCCGTGCATTGATCTTATTCCTTCCCTTACCATGGGTGCATCTTTTTGAGGGTTTCCGTTGTTGGTGGTTTTAAAGGGAAACCAGAAGGAACACCAACATGTTTTGGGGTCCCCAGACAACAGACACCCAATTGTGTCGCCTTCTATTAGTCTTGCACTAGGACCACTTAAGTCGTGTTCAAAGATGCTGACAGCATCGAGTTGTAGTAGGGGTAGTTTGTGCATCTACGGCAGCTTGCGGCTTGTGCTGAGCATCCAAGATTCGTAGTTTTTTGGCATTCTGCTTCTGGGTAACAGAGCGCATTTAATTTATCATGCAACTGTGTTATTGATTGGTTTATCCGCTAGCAAGACTCTAGAACGTAGTGGTGCAATCCACTATCCAGCTGTTCTTTAACGCAGACCCGGCCAAATTAAATGGGTATAGGTCAAACTTAAACCACCAGGGGACCACAGGTTTTGGTCCATGTTTCCACTTATCAGGGTTCGATTTTGGGTACATATTTTTGACCCACAGCCAAATGTCAGGGGTCCGTTCGTCGTTGTTACTCACAGTTGTTGCTCACCATAGGTGTCCTTTTTGGTTGTTTTGGCAGAAACATAGATGGCGATTCCTGGTTTACCTGCTGGTTTAATCATCTACCAGGGAAACCCATCTATTTTCTCTAAAAGGGCACCTGTGATACTCACAGTTGTTACGCGCAACGGCTTCAACCCAATGCTGTCACAGGATTGCCTTTTGTCGCCGGGGTGCTCGTCTCCCTGTGCGCCACTGACCCAGAGATGTCGCTCGAGTCACGGCTGCCTTGGCTTTTCTTCGATTTGTGGTGCACTACGGGCGCCCATAAGGCATCAATAGGACCACGGTGTGACGCGAGAGGCTGATTGGAGTCTTGAGTTTTGGGCGAACTTGGCATAGAAAGTATCCTAAGACTGGATGGCCCTGTCCAGTCACCATGACTTTGGAACATTGTGCGGATCAACTGTGACATCGTCATCACGGCAACAGCTTTGGGAGGCAGATAGGGACTTGGCGAGAAGAAGACCAAATCGAAAATTCAGATCCGGCATAGGGGAGCCATGGCCCTGAGCCAGGGTCCTTGATCTTGTGTCTGAAGCGCAGGCGCTCAAATGTTAGGTGTCTACATATTTGTGATTTGCTACTCAGCTCGGGGATGATTCTCTCCATTTTGCAATGTCGGTCCACACTTTCCGCTGTGGCATGGGCAACTGACAAGAACAATTTGAACGTCTGCTGTTGGTGTGGGCACATGAGGGGCCCACGCAATTTTCCGGTGTCCTCGTGGGGAAACCAACAACTTTGTCCGGAGCAATCTTCCGGAAGGAGATTCCAAGCAGCCACAGACACCCTGAAGTTCAAGCGACAAAGTTCGGTTCGCCTCATCGCTGCAGAGCTTTGCAAGGCTTCTTGGGGTACAGTAAGCTGGTTGCTAGCTTGTCCATATGTTTCAAGGTTCCCGAACGGAAGCCATGTGTTCGCCGACAGATGTTTTCATTTGTTCGTGTTTCTTTTATCTAGGTCCCCCAGTAGTGCCCTGTTACCCTTTTTGGGGAGAGGCTTCCCCTACTAAAACAGACTACAGAAAAAGGGTACCCTTATTCCAGCCTCTCTACTGGAGGACCTAGTTGTCTTTGCCAGAAGGTTTTCCACTTTTCTGCGGGGACCAGTTTCATCCTCGCGGCTCCGAAGAATCTTGAGCCGCAACCGGAGCCGCAGGTTGCGCTGCACTTGTTTACCCCCTTCAACTTGCTGACTCTTTGCGCCCGGAGTCCCAGCTTCGCTTAGGAGGGTGTCCGCTTAGGGCAGGTTCTGAAGTGTGCCGTGGTTTGACTATACATACAGCATATTTAAATATATACGTAGAGATATTGTCTGATGGTTTGTGGCACCCCGACCCCCCAAAAGTTGTCTTCGAATCTACAGATCTTTACAGTGTTGAATTGCTGTGCATGTTTGGCAGAATGCAATTTCATATGCGCATTGTGAATCTAAATAGCCTCCTTCAGATCCCTTTGAATGGAAGCAAACGTGAATTACACAGTTCTCGCAGACAAGGGAGCGATTTTTGTTTAGTAGAGACTCCTTGCATGGTATTTATGTTGCCATGTAGCCAATGCCAAAAGGAAGAGATAGAGAGTCAGGCCTTTGGCAAGTTGGGGAGCTAGATTCCCTGTGGGGAGCTATAGTGCGCTATCTCATCTCACTCCACGTGTTTGGTACGTTTGGTAGGCGTTCCTCTCCAATTTGTATGTGTAGTCATTGCGACGCATCTGCAACAGTCGTGTGGGGTCCTTCGACAGAATTTGGTGGATGTTGAACACAATGCCGCAAAGATTCTTGGCGATTGTACGTTGCATTGACCCGATGAGGTGGGACATGGGGAGAGAAATGGCAGGCAAATAGCCACAACGGGCGAGGGTTGCGGCGACAGTCAGCCGCAGTTGGCAAGCATTGGATGGTTGGGCCTTGCAAAGTTTGCTGGGAGGTTGGGTGACGTGTGGAGCATGGTGCAAATGGAGCGCAACAATACCAATATATTGCAATATGAGGAGTGACGTGCGGTGACGGAGCATGATGCACCGCATATTTGCGGCGCGGTTGCGGAGCCAGCGGGGTGATAAAACAAAGCATTTGTTGTAAATGGTGTCTGACCTCAAACAAAGGCAGGGAACGTAGAGACATGTTCTTTTCCACCGCAACATAAAGTGTGGCTGTCCTTCCAAGGGTAGAGCAAAAACAATCTGCGGGCCGTATCCTGCAGTCCTTGCAATGCGAGACCAATACTAAACCAGCACTCAATAACTAAGGGCTAGCGTATGGAATGAACAAAAGCAGCCTGATCAGTCCTTAACCTTGGCAACACCCAGCCATACTAAATCCAACTGAGCTGTTAAGCAGCCGCATCTTTGCTGACACCTCTTCAACTTTTGCATAGACAACCTTTTTTAAACAATGTGCTATAGGGTGGCTGTCGCGAGTGGATGATACTACCAAAAATCCTGGCAGCCCGTAGACCATTCAAACATACTCGATAAATGCTGAATTGATTGGAGGCCAATACTTAGCCCGGTGCAAAAGGCAACTAAGTCAGTGTGTCGTCAAGCCAATATTTTTTGTACAGTTTCATACGATGTTTTGTCAAGCCAATCAATTTGTGTACAGTTTGATACAAGATAATGCCTGTCAACCAAATGGCTGACCATTTCAAGGCACGGGGTATGTCCAATGAAATCCGCGAGGTGCGACTTGAGACCGCGCCACTACTTGTGTTAGTTCGTTGAGGTTGGTAGCAACCCCTGCCAGGAGAATCAGCCGGAAGATGAGGATGAAGATGAGGATGAAGAGGAGGCGGGCCGTGAGTGACAGCCGCTCAGGGCTCTGGTTTGAACGGTGTAGCTGTATGTCTTTTAAGGTGGCGCTTGATCATGTTTTTCTGCATCAACCCACAGTCGCACAGTAGTTACAAGCGGAGACCGGGTATGTCATCAAGGAAAACTCAGTTTGTGATTCAACCTGCCAAGAAAACATGTTCTTTGACATGACTGCAGCCGGCCATGAGGCACACACACACAAACACACACCGAGACACACACACCGAGACACACACGCACCTATCCCTATCCATGCACCCACACGCGCACTCACTCACGCAGACGAGAACAAGGCAAAACAAAGAAGCAGTGAAACATGAAGGTGGTATGCTGTGGCGCCAATCATACATACGAGAACTGCTTTTTGTCAGATCACTGCCACTGGCCCTTGACAAGTCGACATGGGCTCTGTTTGGGGAGCAGTGTGATGATCCCTTCTGGATACGGACTCGGACGAGCGAACTGTGTCTGTGCGAACTGCAAAACAAGAAACCTGTAGGACCCAATATGCCCTGCCACTGCCTGGGGCACTTCTTCGCGGAGCGTCGCTGAGCTCATCAAACAGGCTTACTTGGATGAAGCAAGCTTCTTTCTTATCGCCTTACCCTGTTTTGCATGTTTGTTTGCTCCTAGCAGGGCATCTCCAAAAGCCACGCGCAGAAGGTGCTGGCCATGCTAACTGCCAACTCCTTAACTCTGAGGCCCCGCCATGGGCTGGACTTGTTGGGCTATTTGGGGCTGAGATTTGGGTCAATTTGTGTGTGGCTCAAAATTGAAGAACTAGCTAGGCTTACGCTGGTGTTACTCTGTAGTTCAATTCACCAAGTTGCCATTTTGGTATACCGTTTTTTGAGCCACAGACATTTGGTTGTGGTCAAACTGGGAGGGACGCGGCGCGAGCGCTGAATCTCCATAAGCTGCGAGAAGTGCACGCCTGTTCGTCGGAACTCCGCGTGCTGCGAGGGCAAGAAGTTGTCTGCACCGCTGACAGCGCAGTCGCCGTCTCAGGCTGGAAGCCGGTTGACTCAGGGCCAGCTTGTGTCCCCAGTACAGCCGGTTTTCTCTGGGGTAGACTTAGGATACATTTTACATTTTACCAGTGACTCAAAGTGAAGCAGACAATAAAATATACATTCTTTTTCACTGGGCCTAAGTCTAATCATGACCTTGTCTCCCCACAGCCGGTGAAAGCCTGGATAAAGATGCAATTCATGAACCGAGCTTCGAAGGCTTTGAGCTCTCACTTCGGCGAACATCGGGCTCGCTGGAGAAAAACAACGGTGAATCAATTTATGTTCAGTTTGCGAGAAAGGTGTAAGAAGTTGTCAGGTAACACCCGCGAGCGGCAGGTCAACACCGGTCCTTTTTGTGGAAGACTTCCGGGGGGCTTCCATGTCAGGCAAAGAGCATATTGCCAACATACAATCTCAGGAGCACCTCCGTATACCTCCGTAATCAATCGTATCCCCTGTTTACACCACAAATCACTGCTTAGTGTGTCAGGGGCCCTATAGGTTAGAAAGTTCATAATTCTAAACACTTCGCGCTGGCCACCTCGGCAAGTATTCTTTTGGTTGGCTAGAGGTATTGTTGTTTTGGTTTGCCTTGAAGGGGGAAGAGGGGGTGGTGGGGACGGGTTGGGGAAGAAGCTTTTACGGGGATGACCGCGGGGGGCCAAGGCGAATATAGGCGATGAGCTGGGAGGCTAGCCGAACTCTACCTTTTCAATCACAGTAACATGGAGCGGAAGCAAGTCCGTTTTGTGGATGGTGTACATGCTTCTGTGGAAACGCGAAAGCGACTGTTTGTATTTGCAGAAGACGACAGTAAAGATCGGGCGGCAGACGCTATTTGTTGTCTCAGACTAGTGGAACCACTTTTGGACATGCTTTTGAACGGAACCAAAAGGCAACCAACCCATTTTTGGGGTTCCCGAGTTCCACACACACAGACGCACCCATTTTTGTGGTTCCGGCTGACTCAAGTGCCAAAAGGCAACTAAAATCTGATAGCTTTCGATCTTCTGGCAGGCGATGCAGCCCATGCAGGCCATGCAGCCGATGCAACCCATGCAACCGATGCAGCCCATGCAGGGCATGCAACCCATGCAGCCCATGCAGCCCATGCAGCCCATTCAGGCTGGCAGGGCTTGAAGACGTGAGCAACAGACAGTGTTACCAGGGTTTTGGGTGGGCCCCTATTGGTTTTCCGGTTGCTGGATTTCGCTGTGGGGTAGTCCCTATTAGTTTGTGGTGCAATCTAGTTTAATTTAGAAGGAACTTCCGCCGTACTACCGTACTGAAGTAATTGAGCTAGCGCTCTCTAGGATTTTGCGCACCCGCGCGCGTAAGACCGGATGCGCTGTGCGTGAAATAAACTTCAAGAAAGCTGGAAAACGCGAAAAGAACTGGCGAATAGAGGCGAGCAGAAACCGTGGCTCTGCGCGTGGATTCGGCTCTTCAGAATGTGTGCAGAGCACCTCAGTCGCGGCGCCTGTACGGGAGCCGTCTCGGACAGAGAGAGAGAGAAAGGAAGAGAGAAAGGGAAAGAGAGAGAGAGAGAGAGAGCGAGAAAGATAGAAAGAAAGCAAGAGAGAGAGAGAGAGAAAAAAAAAGCGAAAGCGAAGGGGAACTCGAGAAAGCAAGCGAGAAAGAGAAAGAGGCAGAGAGGAAGAGAAAGAGACAAATATAAATATAATGATAAAGGGAGAAGAGAACAACAACGAGAAAGAAATATAACATATCATGAGGGAAAGATAACAAAAAAAGAGAAAGAGACAAAGAGAAAGTGAAGGAGCAGAGAACGAGAAAGAGAGAGACAGAGACAGAACCACAAAAGAGGGAATGAACCAGAGAAAGGCTAAAGGGAGAAGGATAAAGAGACAGATCAAGAGAAAGATAAATTCCGCACCCGGCTGGACATAACTGGTTCATGGGGTATTCATGCAAGGAGAGATTTGTGGTGTTTCTCAAAAGGTGGAGCCCTTTCAAACTGTTGCACTGGCACCTCTTTGTTGCCAAATTGTTGCAAACTGATTGCATACCTTGATTGTTCTGTTGCTGGGCTTCTTAACAAGGGCATTTTCGAAAATCAAACGGTATTCCCTGCAATGCTCTATTCACTACGACAGGCCTCGCAAATGGAAGGTGCTTCGAAGCACACAGTATTTCACTGTGCAAAAATGCGGAACGGACAAATTTCTCCAGAAACTCGTCCGACATGCAACTAGCACACCGGCTCAAAAGGCACAACGCATGCACACTTGCCAACGTACAAGCTAGCTCAGTTCTCCAGAAGCTCGCCCAAAACAGCACATGCATGCTTGTCCACCACAAGCAGGCACAATTCTCAGTTTAGCAAGGGTTGAATGACCTAGCTGCAGTTGTTTTTTGGCAAAGTATTTGCATGCTGCTGTTCCAAGAGAGCACATCTCAATTAGACATGGCATCCCCTGACGGTCGCAAGCAGATGCTGAAGAAAACAAGCTCGCTTTTCCCCCCTGGCAGTTGTTTGTTTTGTCAGGTGTACCCCTCGGACTGTACCCGCAATACTGGGTGATATATCTATGTTCACGTATACGACCCTGTAGGCATCACATTGATGTTCGCGGAAACCTGCCAGGGGCTTGCGTACTACGCACCAATGGCATCGAGCCCGCGGACAGTCATGAGCCCAACCTTCCGCCAAGCCTGAGACCAGTGTCAGAGACGCCGGGCGGCAGGCCTGGAGGCCTATCTTACTGACTACGTCCCTGTTCAGGAGGACATAGGAGGGGGGGGGTACGGAACCCCAACCTTCCCTCATTTCCGAAGGAACGCGGGGACGGGACTACCCAAAGGAACACTGTGAAATCGTGTTGTTCATTACTCCAATCTGACCACGACTGACCATGTGTTCAATGGTCACTCCGTCTCTCCGTGTTTAGCTGAACAAAGCGTTCGTCTCCTGTTGAAGCCAATGAAGGAACAGACCTTGCAAGTTAGACTTGCTTGTACCTGAGTCGCACAAGCCTTTTGCCGGCTGGGCATCCAGACAAAAGAGGGTCAAGGATTTCATCCATCCGGTGCGTCCGAATGGTGGATCTCGCAGCTAGATCGGCGGTGGCCGCAGCGGGAAGAGCAAAAGATGCGCGGTTCAAGCTGTTTGTTGGACGGTTCCCGCACAATTAGGCCGCAACAAGACATGTTTTTCGCCCGTTCCGTTGCGCATGAGCGCACCCTTGGAGTGACTGCCCAGACCTCCACGTTTTCCATTTCGGAGAATCCCTGGTGGCCTTCCGACAGCAAAGCTGGTGGATTCCAACCAGCCCTTTAGTTCGTTCAAGGGTTCCGTTGGTTGACTACTCCAAGGTAGACTTGAACCCCGTTTTGTTTTGGAGAAGTCAAACACACCTGGGCTTGAGTCTGCCTGGTGGTAGTCAAACAAATGGAGCCCTGTGTTTAACAATTGAGCAGCTCTAAAACCCCCCCGTTACATCCCAAGCAAGAATTGTGTCATATCATCCTGCACGGCGTAAGCCGGCGTAAGCACTTTTTGGGGAAGCAGCGTGAGCACCTGCGTAAGCTCTTCTTTGTGATTGCTTGGTAAGCTTTGTAAGCATGCTCGGAAGAGTTGTTTCACACATGTGCTCATGTGTTTATTGGTGGCTTGTGCTGCTGCAACCTAGTCGAACTTGGCAACTTGCCCGGAGACTTCGGGCTGCAGGAAGACGTCGATTGCCGCATGCGCGCACCATTAGAAAACAAAGCCAGCAGAACTTTGATTGGGAGCTCATGCTCGGTGCCTGTTGAAACCTTTACTACGACAAACAAAGGCTTCCGAAACCTTTGATGTAGGAAAGCTAAAGGGGCTCGGGCGTAAGCTCGCGGAAGCAGGCGCGCAAGGTTCGCGTAAGCTCGCCTAGCTCGGCCGCTAGCCCTCGCAATGGATGCCGCTGCTGCATAACCCGTTTCTTGACTTGCAGTAAGAACAACAACAACAAGCCACTGAAACTCGTGAGGGAATTTCTTCGTCATCTTCTTCCTCAGAGTCATCCACATCATCTTGAACAGTTCTGGCGGCTGCATGAAAAAAGGAGCCCGCGCATTCTTGAGGGCAAGCGCTCAAAACGACGACGCGTAAGCGATGCGTAAGCTTAACATGCTCGCTGACTGCCGCGTAAGCTAAAACATGGTCGCACGCTCAGCAGGACCCGCGCAAAAACGCGCGTTTACCATTCAAATCTGCTGAAGGAGCAATCCGCAAGGTGCCAAAAAGTTCGTTTGTGTCTAACAGCAGCTTTCATGCATTGACATGCTGGCTTCCGGCACTGCTTGTTTTATCTCTTTGCCACAGAGACCACATGTTTAATATGTCAGGCACACAAAGACCGTCTATACAAGAATTGGTATGCTCTCGTCCACAGGCGACTGTTGATCAGGCCGCTGGGACCGCGGCTCTTCATCTCACTGGGCATGAATTTTTTCAAGTGATGCCAGCAGCGATCAATCTGCTGCGTGCCCGCTCTGCGAGCCCGCAGATTCACACGTGTGACCTTGGTCCACTCACTCTTGTTGTGCACGACTTTGCGGAAGTGCAGCCTCTTGCGGGGCAGCGCCTTTCCCGCAGTCTTCCAAGAAGCACAGCCATCAGTGTACACGATGGCGCCCGCGGCGAGCTGCCTCAGCAAGCCGCTGTCTTTGATCTCCTGCACACTCTCGCTGGGAGGCTTGGACGGCAACGGCACCAATGTAAGATGGGCAGGAGCAATTGCCATCTTCTGTGAGTTCCGTTGCGTCACCCCTAAGCAGCGCACGTAGAGCAAGAACCTGCGCGGCACCGCTCGTCCAGTGTGAGCCCGCTTCCACAGAGCAACTTGATTGGCAAATGTCCTGGAAGAGGAAGAAATGCGCAAAGTCCGCAGGCACGTGCCATCTGCTTCGCACTGCCCTGTGAAGACAGCTTGGCCAGACAACGCTCTGCCCTGGGAGGCCTCATGATCCATGAGAGCATCCACCACAGGCTCCAAGGCCCTGCGTCCTGCTCCAGTCAAGCGGGCCAGCTGGAGCGGGCTTGGTGGCTTCTTGCAGCCGGTAGCACG